CAGTTTTTCTTGTTCCATAATCTTCCCAGTTCATTTTGAAGGTGAAAATTTTCCATCTTACATCAGAATGAGATGAAGACTATTGAAACAGTATTTTTATGAAAAACTAGAGGGAAGCATCAGTCACTTGAGGGCTGACAACTCATCTGCCCTCATGCAGAGTGTAGATGTTTTTAGCTCTCAACTCTTCAGCCGAATGCTCTGATCCCCTGGCTATTTTGGAGAAGCTTCTCATCCTTCAACTTGAAAACTCAGCTGACTCTGAGAAATATTCAAACTGGATGTTGTAATGGAACAATTTTTTTTTTTTGTTAATGAAAGACCTCAACTGCAAAAACTAATCAGTGCCAGTGAAAAATTGCCAGTGTCAGTGCCCCTGCATCATAAATGTCTCTTTCTGGCAAACACTGTCGAACTGGGATTTTTTCATGTTGAGCAATGGCCGATTTCAGTCTCTAACTGGAGTAACTTCTTTTCTCTCCTCAAGAGGCCTAGTGCTTGCATACATGCAAATCTAAAAGAGACTTTAATGTGCCAGGAGAGCAGCATGTGAATTCTGTAAAGATGCAAATCTAGCTAAAAGGACCACTAACAGCAAAATTGTCAGTCAAATGTTTTTCAGAGGGCTGCCTATGTTGAAATACATGCTTCATTCAGACCTGCCAGCTTTCCTGATGTGAGTAGTAAGCTGTGGCGTTTAGTGATTAAACAACCAATTGGAATGGTAACCTACTGCCCTACCACTTCTGGCAATGATCTACTGCATTTCTGGAAGTCTGGCAGCCCAAGCTGTGTATGTCTGGAAACACTGGATGAATGGCCATTGTGTGTAGTAGGTTTGACACCAGGCACATTGGACCTGGTGCTATTGGGCCTGCCAACTTTGGCAGAATTGTAGACTGTACATTTCAAATGTACGCATATGTTTTGGCCTTTCAGAAGAATGGCTGTCTCTTCACCGTCCTTTTCGATGAATCCGAGCGGGCCGCTCCAGGAAGGAGCGGGCCTTCCTTCTTCTCCCCGTAGCTTGTTCCCAACATCTCCTCCGGAAACTGACCTGTCCCAAAACTATCCCAACTCGCCCTTTCCTCCCACCCTCTTCCTCTGGGGGGGGGTAGGGGGAGTAATCCCCAGGGATGTGAGGGAAGGGAGGGAGCAGTTAGATCGGGGGAGGTAGATTTGCCCTTTTTGGTACCAGACTGGTTTTATGCTAAGTTAAAGGGAATGTACAACCGCAACCTCAGACTGTGGTTCCTCTAGTCAGTCTTTCCACAACCACTTTTCCTATAGCAACTTCTCCCCTCTCCTTATTTTTGCTACTGCCCTGCTCCTTTAGTTTGGCTGATGCAGCTGCTTTTCTGGGGCTCTGCAATCAGGAATACAATCCATGCGAAAAACAAGCTACTAAAAAATGGAGATGTTCACATGTATCTGTGGAACCATATCTTGGGATCAGAAGTGATTAAACAAAATGCTTCAGAGAAGTCTGAAATAGAAAAAGATCTCTTGCTCCAGTCTTTGGTCATCACTGGTGTTTTTATTGTACTTAATAAGAGAGCATCGGAAGGATTCTGTGTTTTGTTTTGGATAGTGCAGTATCTAATATAAGCATCTACATGAATTGATCTTAGTTTTGTAAGGGTGACATATCTAGTATCCCGGCATGTCTTTATTATCCTATTTCCTGCCCTTAGCAGATGTGCAGTGGTCTTGCTAGCTGTTGTCCTAGAGCTTTTTGTTAGCCAGTGTTCTTCCACGTGTTCCTGTAAGTCCAGGAAGTTGTTTTCAGACCTCTCCGTCGGTTTCATCGGTGTTCTTTACCATAGATTAGATTCATCTACCATTACTAGACTGAGCCCTGGAAAGAATAAACTGATTTCAAAGACAAGCACTTTGTAGATCCCCCTACGTGGTGACCGATGCGTGGGTGAAAGGACAGGGCTGGATCCTGCAGTTTCACTTCACCTCTTGCTGCAGATGAGGTTTTACAGTGAATCGAAGTGTCTCATGAGTATGCGTACCAAAACCACAATTCTTAAAAATAGAACACGCGCACACACAAAAATCCCTCGTTTATATTTAGGCTCAGATTTTTATGCAGAAAAGATTTGAGGTAGTTCCTCTTAGTTCTGTTTTCTCTTTCAGGTTAACTTGATGATGTGGAATATGTGGGAAGGGTTTCCCCTATACCACCACTTTCTGGTTCTCTGAAAGCTGGTTTGCTGAAGTATGGAATTTTGATAATTTCTTCATAAAGTTACTTGGTTTCTGATTATTGCATGTGTACAGTTGAAAGGGTTGCGTTATACCTAGGTAGTCACTTGAGCTCTTTTCCATCACCGATGGGTAGAAGTTGCTACTTCAGAAGACTATTACTGTGTCATCGTTACCGTTGGCTAGTGCAAAATATTGGTATAGTTGAGAATTATAAAATCACTAGGCTTTCCATGCTAAATAAGTCTTAGAATTTCAGTATTGGATTAAAAGATGAAAGAGCATAGATACACTCTAAATCTTGGAGGCAGTGAAAAATCCAGAAAGTGTAATTAGTGCGTAATAATACACGCACAGAATTAATATCAAGACTCTAACCAAACAGTGCTGGTAACGCAGGTCAATTTTGCTCCTTCGGCAGCACTGGGAAAGGGCTTCCTGAAGAGCGTGTGTTGATCCATAAACCTAACGTTCGGTTGTATAGAGTGAGGGTGTAGTTTAACCTACTGCTTTCATACTCCTTGCCAGAAAATGGCTTCTTGGAATCTTAAGAATGTTTTTGGAAAATGGATTCTAGGCCACTGTATTGACTTCCAGAAGTATAATTGTCTAGGTTTGACCAATGGAATAATAAGGAAAATGTTTATCCTCTTTTGCTGTTTAATTGTTATCATATAATGCATGAAACTTGCTATCGTTTATCTCAGTGAGAACAATTCCAGATAACATCATTTGTAGTCTGGCTTTGTTATATTCCTAGCTTTGTAATTGCTCTGCAAGCCATATATATGTATATATATGTATGTGTGTATATATTATATATTTTTTAAAGAAGGTATTTTGGAATGATACTCTGAATTCATGTAGCTTTGTCTTCCTTGCTCTTTGCTGTGCTCACTTAAATGATAATAACCATGTAATGGTGGGTCTCTGCTCCCAATATGTGGCTAGTGTCTTGAGATAGAAATTCAGCAAAGATGTGTGAAGTTCCTCCTTGGGTTCTGACAAGATGCACTGGGATGAGGTTAAAAAAATATTTTTTAGGTGTCCGTTTTGAAAAAATGCTTAGGAAAGTACTTTTATTTATTTATTTAGTTATTTAAACATCTTTTGTGGAATATTTCCCTTGTTTTTAACAGCCTATATTGGTAAGCTACATAGCTTATGGTTGTCCAGTTAGAGCCTAATCCACATGATCTGTTTAAAAAAAAAACCCATCCTAGGAATTCTTGCCCAAACTGACTCAGTTTTTTGTTGCGATGAATAGGCTGTGACAAACTAGTGGATTTTCTGGGAAATGCAACTGCAGACTGTCTGGCTTCTGCGTAAGGGTATTCGGAAACCTTGTGAAGATCCAGTGTTTTATCATGAAGCAAATGAGTGAAATCATCTTCCTGGAATCTGTGGTCATTTGGGCTTTGGATTGTGGTAAAACCTAAAAGTTCCTCGTAACAAATTCTGGTAAAGGTCATAATCAAGTTTCTTCCTGGTATGTGGTGATGGCAGAATACATCAGGATGGATCACAAGATGGTTGCCTTCTGGCCCTGAGGGATCTGGCATTCCTCGGGGATGAGACCAGCTACCTTGATTCTGTCTTGATAGAAGCCTGACTCCTGTGAGTAGGATTTGCAGACTGGAATGGTTTTTTTCCTCAGGTTTGGGGATGTAGCTCAGTCACTTGCTCTTTGATTCCTGGATCTCATGGGACTTGCTGCTGCTAATTGTGCTGAAATGTGGTTTTGTCATGCGGACAAACTCCTACCAATGGTTATTGTATGACTTGATAATTTTGCATGCATGCTAAGCCTCCAGAGAAGAAAGGATACCATTTACTTCTTGTCATCCCCCTAAGCATGACTCTTAGCAGTAAGTTGCTTTCTTCCCCAAATGACTTCAAAGCAGCTAAATCGGTTCTGAAATTTCTTTTTAAAGAATGAGCTTCCTGCTGTTACTTACAGTTACTTTGTAGTTTGTGAGAGAAATCTTGACCTTCTTCTTTTAGTACTTGTGCAGAAATGTGAGAGTGGCGTAGTTGTAGAGTGCTATCTGATATTTCTCAGTCGTGATTCTTGGCTCTTATACCTGTTGAAACATACTTTATCCTTTCATGTGTGGTTCTGGTGTAATTACTTAATTGCTTTTGCTAGGACTTGCATTCAGGCACTTCTTTTGTTTAGATTTTTTTCTGGATAGGTTTCAGAGGTTGAGTTTTTGTTGTTATTTCACAAAGGCCCTTTTAGAGTAGTGTTTTTTTTTAAATATCTTTACTTGAAATACAAACAACTATCTTTAGCCCAGCTGAAGGTTAAATTAGAAATGAAAGTGGCTGCTGGCCATGGCAAAGCTGATGCATGTGTGATACCTACAGAATTAGGAAGTTATTGGTCACGGGAGTAGCTGATACAACAGCAGCACCATCAAACACCTGATCTGCGGATGTTTGAAAGAGTTAATATCCTCTGTTTCTTCAGCTTCTAGCTTGTTTCCTCTCCTGCTTTCCTGTTCTGATGAAAGAATTGTCTGTCGCTCCCTCTCCCTCCTCACCTATAGGGGAAGCAGCTAATGATGTAAGATCAGTTCTCCCGCCTTTTGCTTGTGGTTTTCTATGTCTAGGTTTGGCTTTGGAGATTCTGCAGGGATTATTGAAGGGGAAGGGCATTCTTGCCATTGCAGATCCTTACAATGCATCAGCCCTGGTCGGAGCTGTTTTTTTTTTACATACTCGGAGTTTGTGGGAAGCTAAGGCTCCATCACATAGCATTCCTCAATCTTTCTTTTCACAGATCATCATGGCTGCTTCTAGCCCCATTGCTCACCCCTCCTGTTCCTGTGATCACAGCCCCTCCTTGTTCCCTTTGTCCAGAAGGAGCACACAGGTTCCAGTGGATCAGGAATCTGGTTCCAGAATTTGGGATCTCCAGCTCTCACGTCAAGGTTCTTTCATCTCCGGCTGAATTCTATGACCTCTTGAAGGTGAGTTGTGTGTTTCAAGCATGAATGCTTTCTGGGGGTTGGTGATTGCAGTGGCTGTGAAGAATCATAGACAAGTTGGTAAGAATGGACACCTGGAGGTCACTAGTCCAGCCTTCTGCTTCAAGCAGGATTGTTGTCAACAACAGATCAAGTCAGCCAGGCTTTGCCTAGCTGAGTCTTGAAAACCTCTAAGAATGGAGATTCCACCTCTCTGGGCAACCTATTCCAGTGCTACTCCACCTGTCTAGTTTAAAAATTCTTTCTGATGTCCAACCTGAATTTCTCGAAGCACAATTTGTGGTCGCTGCTCAGCTGTAACAACCAAGAAGAGTTCAGCTCTGTCATCTCTGTAACTACTCTTTAGGTAGTTGTGTGCTGCTATTAGATCACTCCTCAGCCTCTTCTGTGACAAACTAAACAAGCACAGCTCCCTCAGCCCTTCCAAAAGGTCTTCTAGGTAATTACAGTATGAATCCTGTAATACCTCATCTCTTAGGTATGTAGCAGGACTGAGGTGAGAAGTTTTGTTTAGCTCAGTTGCTTGAGTCTTTGCATAATATGTATTTAAAGTAAGTTCAAGTACTTTAGAAACATGATCTTAGAAGCTGATGGAGAACGAGATTGGGTGGGCCATGAAGGCAGCAGGAGTTAGTGCTAGCTACCGCTCTCTGTGGTGTGTGTGCTGAGCAAAGGTGAAAGGAGGAGAGGAGAACTCTTTTAACAAAGGTCTCCTTTCACCTGCAGGTGGAACAACAGAGGAGACAAATGGTTAGGTACAAAGCCTTAACTTCGACAGGAGAAGGTTGGGATTCCACTTCATTGCCAGCTAATGCATTGCTTGTTAAGCAGCAGTAGATCTCGAGGAAGGTGTTAACTTCTTATTCAGAAGCAACACCTTAGGATAGTGGAATCGCAAAATGATTTTAGGTTGGGAAGGACCTTTGGAGGTCATTTGGTCTAATCCCCCACTCGGAGCAGGGCCAACTTTGAATTTAGATCCAGCTAGATTCTGATTAGTTCACAGGATTAGTTCAAAGGATTAAAGCAATTACAGAATGAAAAATAGAGCGTTGGGATTGCCAGTATGATTCCGATACAATTCCAGAGTTGTAGCTAGTACCGTTAAACCCAAGATCAGTATCTTTGTCCTAGCTGTAGGGAACTCTTTCCTCCGTTTTCCAGAAAGCTTTGATTTCTTCGTTGATTCTGGATGTAACAATGGTGCTGATGTTGCTCTGTAAATACCTATGTTTATTATATCTTTGCTATCGGAGTATTGGGAGTGTTGTCATTTCCTTGTGCTTTTCCTGGCACCTCCTACGTGGGTGTCTAGGGGCTGAAGGGGTAAAGCAGCCCTGCTATTGCTGGACTGGCAGAGTCTGTAACCGGCACCTCCCTTGCTTTTCCCTCTGAACGGGACTCTATGGGTCCTGGGTGCGCAGAAGCATAAGTCTCTTGTCTTGTGCTCTTATGAACTGAATAATGCTCAAGGCGAGGGAGACTGTTCTGATTTGGCTAAAGTGATTCTCTTCAGGGGGACCTGCAGGTTTTCTCTGGCTTGATTCATTAGTTCCTAGTGGTTGCAGAGACTAAGGCTGAACCTGAACTTATTTTCTGCTGCTTCCAGGTGCAGATAAAAACAGCCAAACAGCGAGTGGTGATGGCCTCACTATACCTGGGAACAGGGCTCCTCGAACAGGAGCTGGTGAGTGTGGAAGGGGATTGGGAAGGGAAAAAAGGGAATGCAGAAAATACCTACCTTGGCAAAAAAACATTCTGTACCTGCAGGTACAAGAGGTGAATGTGAGGTACAATTTGTGAGCTTATAATGTCTTTAAAACTTTCATATATGGATTCACTTGGCTTGACTTTCTTCTCTCCTTGAGAATTTTTTTTTTTCATGGTTCCTGGCTGCATTTGTGCACTTGTACTTGGGGCTTGGTGTGAAGTAGGGGGAGGAATTTGAAAGGGAGGCATATGAAATTTTTCCTATAAGCCTACTACAAAACTATGGAACTACTGAACATTTTCACAGGATAATGAGCCTGGATCTTTCAGACTGTTAGAAGTTACTGGCGTAGTGTTCAAAGAGTTTTTGCAGAACTGTGGGAACATTGATGATTTTCTTTTATCCTGGAATTTTTCTTGAACGTGAATAAAGTTGTAGTATGTAGTGATGTTGTTTGTCCTGCAAATGCTGTATGCAGATGCAGTACTAGCTCTTTGCATTTAAGACAGAGGTCAGTTTTGCTTCATCTTGTTTACCTATTTTATTTCCTATCTTTCCCTCTAGAAACAAAAGCATTCTCCAAGACCTTTAAGGAGAAGTCTGACCTTGGCCAAATTCTTATGTTAGAACGCAAATTCCACAGCAGGGTAAAGGTGGACAGAGTTCTGCACAGTGTTTTGTGCCTGGCTTTGTCTGGGCTTGCACACAAGATTTAAATTTGCTTCTTGCAAATAGCCGTAGAGTTAAGGGATAAAACTACCTCTGCATCATTTGTGAACTCCTACCAAGCTTTTTGTTTGGTAATGCAAATGTGTGATTTTTGGGATGATGCTGGGATTTTTTTCCTGCTAAAATGAATTGCTGTTCGGAGGCTTGAAGAATGCTATGTGCATATATAAAATTAATGCCCTTTTATATATTTAGGCTGATAGAATAGGGTGCCAGTCTGAAAGATGCAAAGTCTAAACTAGCACCATTTTGCCTGATTAGGAAAAACTTATGCTGGGGTATGGAAGCTTTCATGGCCACTGGCCTCCTGTTTCTGAACGCTTTCCTTATAAGGCTTCATTTGCTTTTTCTTTAATGACTAGTACAATCTCTGCAGGTGGATTGCTTAGAAGAAACACTGGAGAAATCACTGCAAGCAAAAGGATCTTCTAACCTCAGAGTTTCCATTCTTCTTGACTTCACCAGGGGATCTCGTGGTAGATATTATGAGAAGTTTTGCTTACTTCAAAGGCTTATTTTTACAGTCAGGTTGGATATATTGGTTTTTTTTTTTTCAGGGAGAGGCTATCTTGGCTGATTGGACCTGCAGGTTTAAATCATATTCCTTTCAAAGCCTGGCCCTTTTCATACCAGTGATTACATATTCCCCCCTACCCCAAATCTTCAAGCTGAGCAGTTTTCTTCAGAAAATAGGTGGTTGGAGCCAGAAGATTGCTGGGCCCAACTCTGCTGTTTCACTTGTGCTTTCTTGCTTGCTTAGTTCCTTGCTAGTGCATTTGCCCTTATCCATCATGCGCTTTTATGATTTAATTTTTTAAGGGAAGGTGGGAATTGGTGGAAATAGCAGTATACTTAACCTGAAACTTTTGTGGTGACTCTTTGTAGCGTATGTTACTAGTGCTGTGTTAAGAAGCTTGAATGGTGTCAGTCCTGTCCAGGACTCGTTTCCAAGGCCCATTCTTCAATGGACTTGGGGTTCTGGATGTAGATTTTAATAGTGACATAAGTGCAAATGAATGTGATAGTTTAATGAGACAGGAGCTGCTTCTGAAACCAGCTTCTAGCTGAGGAGCTATTTTGCCATGTTGTGGCATATCCTGTGTCTAGTGTGATCTCGTGTATGAAACCCCACTCTGTCTTCCCAGGCAGGAAGAATTCTCGAACAATGCTAATTCCACTGCTGCAGCGATTCCCCAAGCAAGTCCGTGTATCCCTCTTCCACACTCCAAACCTGCGTGGACTACTCAGGCTTCTGATTCCAGAGCGTTTTAATGAGACCATTGGGCTGCAGCACATCAAGGTCTATCTGTTTGATGATAATGTGATCCTGAGTGGGTAAGTCTTGCCTCTTTAGGCTTTTCTGTGATTCGTTTAGCTGAGGTTTTGATGCAAGATATGCACGCTACTGATGTTGTCTGATCTTCATTGTTTGCATCTGGTCTTACCGTAGCGATCCTATCAGTGGTTCTGGTGAGTGTTCTGGTGTCAAGATTCAAAAGGAAATGGCCAACTTGTGCTTCGGTCTTGTGTGTGGAGTGATAGCTATAAAATAGGCTGGGCATAAAGTGCCTATGCTCTGTTCTGGAACTCAACTCTTCTTTTTCTCTCCTAGTGCAAACCTGAGTGATTTGTACTTCACCAATCGTCAGGACCGCTATGTTCTCCTGCAGGACTCTCCTGAGATTGCAGACTTCTTCACAGAGCTAGTGGATGCGATCGGAGATGTGTCTCTGCAATTACAGCAAGATGATACAGTCCAGATGATGGAGGGGATGGTGCATCCCTACCAAGGTGGGAGGGAATCTCCTTATCTGGTCGGATGATACAATCCAGAATGTGGGAATGACAGCAGGGGCGTTCTTAAGGATGACGTGAACTCTCTCCGTTTTTAAACTGCTGGGTGCTTGACTGTTGATAACTGTGGTGCGTCCTATTTATGTGCCATCCAGTATTAAAAACAAGATTACTAGAGTTTTGAGATGGAATCTGTCAGTCTTCCTAGCACACTGACTGTCACCAGCTAATCTGGTGGAAAATGTGAAGTGTAGAAGTTCCTCCATAACCGTCTCATTGCTGCTTCTTATTTCTGCTACTTACAACCTTAACTGAGAACTTACATACCTTGCAAGGTTCTTATCTATTGGCTATAATGTTAGATATTCTGTGTGTACATATTCTGAAAATTTCATGAATATACTGCTATTTCTGGTAGTAATTATTTTGTAGTTGAGTCTGTTCTGGGAATTCAGATGTACATTGAATTAGGAAGACTGAGAAGAGGCGTTAAAGTGGGCAGAAAAGGGGATCTATCTGTCCGGTTGATTGCATCATAATATTTTTTTGTGCACTGTTGTGTGATGTAAGCTTGCACTGAGGGCAATAGTTTATTTTGTACATTCCAGTTCATTCCTGAAATGTGGAGTTTTCAAGGGTTGCCGTTTCACCTTGACCCTGGTCTTTTCCAGTGGACCAGAGGACTTTTGAAGCCGCTGCTAGTCAAGTTTCTTACCCCTCTCTAAGTTGGATGTTCCTCTGTTATATAGCTTTACTAACTTTTGAAACATCAATTTTTGAGACTTAGGAAAGAAAGTGGTGTGATCTTTGTGTTAGCTCCTTTTTATTCTGATATTGATGTCCTGTCGGTAGTTTTTCCTGCTCCGTGATAGGTGATGCATAGCTCTATACCTGTAGGTCTTGAAAGCAATCTCTTGTGATTCTTCTGCAGGAGACAAGATGGCTTACTGTGAGATAGCAAATCAGAGAGTCATGGAAGTGATCAACTCTGCCAGGACACGTCAGGAACTCCTGCATGCAAAGACTTTCCACAGCAGCCAGGAAGGCAACCCCATGTTATCCCAGCAAGACTCTCAAGCATCTGGGGATCTGAAACCAGAACCTGACACCTGGATTTATCCCTTAATCCAAATGAAACCCTTTGGGATTCAAATAGATGAGATGGTCACAGAGACACTGCTGACGGAGGCTGAGCGGGGTGCCAGGATATATCTTACCACTGGCTACTTCAACCTGACGCAAGCTTATATGGACCTCATTCTGGGCACTAGGGCTGAGTATCGAATTCTTCTGGCCTCACCAGAGGTGAATGGTTTTTTTGGTGCCAAAGGGGTGGCAGGTGCCATCCCTGCTGCCTATGTTTACATTGAACATCAATTTTACAGTGAGGTCTGCTGCCTTCACCAGCAGGAGAGGGTTCAGCTGCAGGAGTACTCCAGGACTGGATGGACTTTCCATGCTAAAGGTAAGATGGCCGTTTCCCAAGAGGACTTGTTCGAAAAGTGTTTGAGGATTACACGTATTTGGATTGTGGAACTAGTGAGGGGGAGGCTGGGTGCCGAGTCTGGATTTAACCTTCAAAGAATATTCATCCAAGATTCAAAGCACTTGAATTGCTTTGCATGAGTTTGGAAGACTTGTATCACTCAAGGGACAACCATGTGAAGTGATCTCTTACCTCTGGATTCCTGATTCAAATATAATCCCAGGGATTATATGAGGATAGTCCCTATGGTGGCAGTAAGACACTGTCAACTAACAGTTCCGAAATATATTAGTTCGGAAAGCGTCTGAGCAAAGGCTGAGCTCCCTTCTGCCTTGAGATGCCCTCATCTTGTTCTGTAGTACGCAAGGTGTTTTAATCAAATTGCTTTATTCCTCTCCTGAATGCTGGGAAAAGGAAATGCCTCTTGATGTGAAAGAGAAGGAGGCATCAGGCTGAATTTATGACAGCAATAGCAGTTGTGATTCAGTTTCTCAGTTTCCTATATTACTCTTGCTAGTTTACTCAACAAGAAGTGGTGACTCTCTAAGAAAATGAGAGAGACCCTAGTGCAGGATCTACAGCAGAAACAAGAACCCAGCGGAGGTAACTAGTACTGACTCCTCAGTGGTTCCAGACGCCTGGTTCTCCTGGCAGTAGGTCTTTGTGAGGATGATCCAGGTGTTAAGGGATTTGTGCTAGCTTCTGTTTACAGTATTCAGGAAGGTTCAGCATAGTGAACAAATGCACTCATGTGCCTTCTGAGGGATGGAGACAGCAGAAGGGGAAACTGTCTTCTCTAGAAGACCCCAAACTCTTTCTTGCTTAACAGAACGTGTATGACTTCCGCAAACCCAACGCTGCCTTGACCTAAGCATGAATCTTTTTCCCTGACTGGTCATTGCTCGTTATGTCTCTCCATTTTCTCTCCAGAAAACTCAGTCCTTGACTCTTCCTACTTTTATACCTAATAGTAAATAATTGATTGCTTGATCATTGGCTTTAATAATGGAAATAGTTTAGCAAGTCAACTTAATTATTTACTCTTTTAAGTCTGTTGCATGTGACGTTGAGTTCACATCTTTATAAATATTTAGATTCTTAGTCCTCACCGTGACAGTGGAGCACCTCAGCGTGGGCTGAGCAGAGACTTCTTTGCCATGTTCCACGGCATCTTCTGTTACTCTGGCCTGCTGAAAGCAGAGCTGTCCACTGTGTCACTTCCTGTGATGGTTCACTGGTCCCCTAGGACAACTTGACAACTCTATCACTGTATGCCATACCCCATCTGGCACTAATTAACGTGTATTTCTACAACTGGCTTTGCAATGTGCTAAGGGGCATTTTCATGGTTTGCAGCATGTATCTGATTCGAACAGTGGAAGGGTGCAACCCCCGAACCAGCACAGGCTTGTTCCAGAAGCCATGGCCTGTAGTTCTTCTAATTTTTGTTTGTTTAAGGATATTAGCTGTTAATGATTGTGGGAATGCCTCTATTTGCCCTGCTTCCTGCAGGATTGTTCAGAAGAAGGGTCAGAGGTGATAGGGAGAGAAAGCTGCTGACCAGGCCTTTCCTTGACTAAAGAAAATAAGTGTGATTAGTTTGCCTGTATGCTGGAACTGCAAACCTTTCTAACCAGTGCTGTACCTCTCCTGCAGTGATGTCGGTAACTAGCGCAGTAAAATCCTTATCTTAGTGCAGAGGTACCTTTAGGGAGGAGCCTGCCTGGCTGGGAAGTGGTGTGTGATTTGTGTTCCAGGAAGTACATGCTCAGTTGTTCTGTGGTTTGCAGGTTCCTCCTCTTGCTGGGCACTGCTGACTCTGAGTGGGAATTTGTGGTTTGGCATGGACTGAGCTAGGAAAGCCTTGGCTTCTTTTCCAAGGTACCAAAGCTCACCTGGTAATCAGTCCCTTTTGGGCAGGCTGTACCTTCTGATGGAAAGGCTTTGGGCTCTGTCTACTATGTGGTGGTCTCTCTTAGAGGAACACAAGACTCTCCAGGAGTTCAGCAGTTCCAGTGCTTGGTGGGATGGACAACATATTAGATATTCACTGTTCTGTTTCCATTTCCTCTTTGGAATGCCAGAGGGATCAACTTGTAGCTCCCTTCTCTGGCATGTTCTGCCCTTTGGCAGATGTTTGATTCACCCAACTTCCTTTTACAGAGGTCATGCAGTGTGTGTGATACAGAGGATAGGACAGAAGGGGAAAAGGAGGAAACCTTGGAGGTGGATGAAAGGTAATTGTACGTGGAGCCTGGCTCCTGGAAGAGGATGTGAGATCCTTAGCAGCAAATAGTGTACGTTAGTAGTTCCTTCTCAGGCTAAGACAAGAGACACCCTTTAGTCTCCTATGCGATCTAGCTGGCTAGTACTAAATGCTATGGTGCTGTGACTGGTGTGCTGTAACCCTTTTCAGCTCCTCTTTAGAAACATTTTTAGACTCTCATGCACAACTTCCAGCAGTGCGTCTTTCTACCAGGGCTGTAACTATCCTTAGCCTTGCTCAGTGCAATTGTAGCAGTCCAATTCACAGTGCCGCACAGCCGTAGGGCGAGTGTGGACCTTTGCGATGAGAGAGACTTTCCTAGGCTTAATATCATGAAGCACACCTGCAGAAGTGCAGATCTGCCTGTCTGCTGCTGTGTTTCTGGGTGTGGTGGTAGTGGGTGACAGAGGCATATCCTTTAGGATTAGGGACCCTTCCATGCAAGTATCAGGTGACAAAATGCCAGGCAGGTGGCTGTTTGCTCTAAGATAAACCTACGTTATTGCTATTGAATAGTGACTGGGAAACTGCACTTCCCCTTTCTGGAAAGGTGAGTCACTGTTTGAGCAAATTCTTCCAGGTGGCCGTAAAGCTAAAGGCATAGTAAAAACTTTAGGGTTGCCTCTTGGTCGCATAGAAAGAGTGAGGAAGCACATTCCCCTTTGTTGCTGCCCTGGCAGAGCTCCGGCCAGCCTTTGAGAGCACAGTTGCTGTTGGATTTGGCCACCAGGCAGGCTGTTGTAGTCGGTCACGTTTGCTGGAACTGCTGAAATCTCTGCAACGTTCAGATGCTTTTTTGTGGCTCTCGGAGATCCTTGTGTTGGCATTTCTGCCC